GCACATCTCCGCAGGCTGAGAGGCGCACCCAATCAATCCCTGGTAGACTCCGCGCAAGCCTTTCTGCGCCACCAGGCGTTTCCTGAGATACGATCACTGCACTGAGCACTCACTCCAACCTCCAATAACGCTCCAACGCCGCTCGAACGGTTCTTTTCGGCTTTCCTGAGGCCTGGACAAAACCGAGGCGGCCTTGGGGAAAAAGAACGAAGCAATGTCTGCGCGACGATCCAACGAAACCAAAAAGGTGTCCGGCTTTTTGGGCAGGATCAAGGCTTGCCTTCCACGCCTTCACCCCAAACCACGGTCCTCTGCGGCCGAGGCTTGGTGTAGTCCATTGTCCGAGTCCAACCGTGGCCCTGTTCGGTGGCCGGTTAGCCTAAGGTGTCGACAGTCCCACCATAGACTTGCTGTTGAAGTTTCACCGTGTCCAGCCTCACCGCGGCGCCGTGTCCCGAGGCGAAGCGGCGAAACCACACACCGAGGATCGGCCGCCCGAAACAGCCCATTTTGGATGGTGTAGTGGGTATCGTGGGTATAGCCCTGCGGCATTCAATTCAAAAAGCGGATGTGCATAGGAACCCTTGGTTCAAACAACATGCACTGTAGCTACGGCCTGTCAATGAACCCTACAGACACCAAGATCCACCGGATGCAACATGAATGGAATGTCATCCCCGACATCTTAGGAGTCCTGCTTGGAGAAACCATGAGAAAACTATGTGGCTAGCCCAACTAGATTTTTCCCGAGCAGCAGCTATGAGCGGCAGAGTCGGTTCTTTTTCTTGCTCCAAAAAGGACACACCCGTAGATACCTGTAGAATTAACATCAATCCTCAATCATCCCTAGACCACCGCTGAGCCCTGGTTACGATCTGCAATGTTCATTCCGCGTAAACGCAAGGGGTATGATTGAGTGCAAGCTTGGGGCACGGGTAATTACACACCAAATCGCACCAAACCGCCAACGAAAAACAGAAAAGACATGAACAAAAAAACATCAATCAGGTGGATCCAGTTGCAGGTGCTGGCCTTCTTGAGCTACCATCCTAAGTGCCACCCGAGCCCAGCCGTGCCGGCACGTACCTACCCGGGTCTCCCCGGACGGAAACAAGGCCGCTTCAGCACCCACGGAACCTCGGTCTCAGACCAAAATCTGAAGATGTGGCCCCCAAAAACAACACCTGTGACACCTGTGACTCAAAGAGAAGAGACCAGACCAAAGAATGGGTCTAAATGAATGAAGACCTGATCTGGTCTGAATGCATGTTGAAGCAAAGAAGAGACCATGGTCGGGTCCACTGAATTTCACTGGCGCTCAGGCTGACCAGGCCAGATCGCACCTCGGACCAAACCTGGCGCTCTGGTTCGTACATGCTTTCGGAATTCTTCCAACCCCCTTGAGCCGTGTGGGCGTGTGCAAGTGTGCTTGCGCCTGCCTGAGTCTGAGGGCAGAAACTGCTCAAAACCCAGCAGGACATGTCAATGTGACAAATAGAAACACCCCCTGCTATTGGCAATGCGACCCAACAATGAGGAAGACTGTCGTCGTCGACTCAGTCAGTGAATCTTCTGACTCCAAAGGGCTCTCTCCAGTTGAATCTCGGACTGGGCCTTCTCCCAAACGGAGATGTTCGCCATTGCGAATGGAGGCGTGGAGGAGGGGTGGGGTGAGGCGTCCGGAGGACGGTCAAATCCAACATCCGTTTGACCTCCTGGAATGATCCCAGTTTCTGCAGCTGTGTATAAATGTGTGTGATTTGTGTGGTGTTCGGATGTGTTCGGATGTGTTCGGTGCAGGTGTGCTCGAAGTTTCGCTGCAAGGCCTTCGGCAGAATGACTGGTTCGTTGATCCGTCGACTTGAAGCAGCATTCTTTCGCGTTCATGAGACCCCGTTGTGCTACAATCTGAGGTGACCAAATGCGGCAAGCGAAAGGTGGATTGAAGAGCAAGAGCCAGCCAAGAAATGAGTCCGTGTCACAATTCTCACCTCCGATGGTTTAGACTATATAGTATTTCTCAACACACGTAGTTGGTCTCACGAATGCTCCATTATTGAAACTGTTCTCATTCTTGAACCATTTCAAGGCGGCCCTTCCCAGCAGCAATGCACAAAGAGCTTGTCCCGTCTACGATTTCGGCATTTTGGTCGGCGGAAATCACAAGCTGTCTTCCTCATCTTTGTCTGCTCCAGCCGAACAACCAACGACTGCACTTCTCCCCAACCTCAAACTGAAAGCATCTAAAGGCAAGATGTGTGGGGGGCAGCAAAAATGCAAAGCCATGGAGCCATGGTCATCATTGTCTTCCTCAGCCGTTCAAGCACTGCTGCCGCACCATGTCCAAGTGACCCTTCTTCACAGCAATGTGCAAAGACTGTCATCCAACGGCAGATCCTCCGGGCGACAGCGTATCCTCCTGGACTGTCACCATCGCTGAAGGGTGGTCAAGACCTGGATACTCTCCAGTGTCCAAACTGTCCAAAGTGTCCTAGTAGCTTCTGGTTACTAGTAGCTACTTGCTCCTAGTAGTACAGCCAGGAGCCCCTAGTAGCGTTCTCGCTCCTAGTAGCGATGCCAGGAGCCCCTAATAGTGTCCAAAGTGTCCAAGTCCCAGCTCAGCAGTGAAGTGGGTTAGGTCGCCCGCACTTCCCACTTTTCACCATGCAACGCAACTTTTCTCAAACTTCATCAAGTCCAGCAACTGCTGTGTCAAACACATGTGCAGCCCTATACTAATCTCAATAACACTCCAGAAAACACCGCACAAAAAAAGTATCTAAGTCAACCAGCAAAGGGGTAGGTGTTGCTTCCGTCTTGCTTCCTTTCGTGCGATTGAGTCAGTCCAGCGCAAGGCTCTCAGGTGTCTTTTCCCTGAAAGGCACTCCGGCTCTCTGGCGCACATGACTTTGGTGCTTGGCATGATTATCACAAGCCTCTTTCCCTGGTCGGACAGGTGACAGGCGACAGGTGTTTTCTGGAACATTCTGGGCTGTCATTAAACCAAATGTCCAAGAGCTCTAACTCCTAGCTGCTAGCTGCTGCTAGCTGCTTCACTTCAAAACCCTGAGTTCTCCGTGGTTAGCTGGCCATTTCAACTTTCCGACGCATGTGGAGTGGACTGGTGAGACTGGGCCCCACATTTTGTACAGGGAGGGGGTGGCAACGCGAAAATGAAAAGCAACACAATCTGGACCGAACAACATTATGGCAGATCCACTGCCACCGATTCACATGTATCTTCTCATAAAAACATCTTCTGGACCCTCCAGGCCTACATCAAAAAGTGTCGATCACATCAATTCTCTGCTCGGGGTATGTTGGATCCATAGGGCCATAGGGCAGGCTGAGATGCCTCTTCCAGGTTCCCTCTTGTCATCTCAGCTACAGCTACGGCCCAGGTTCTCGGCCAGGTTCGCGCAGGCAGCTAGTTTCGCAAGCTGATGCAGGCTGGGTTTTCACAATTGTCCACCCCTCACCACCCAATGATCTGGAAACGGCGCGGATCTTGGAATGACAGAGCATCCGAAAGAAGGTGGCGACTTTGTTGGATGCTTCCAAAAATGCTAGTCATCTCTTCCAATGATCCGCACCAGCTGTCTCAGCCTGTCGCCAGACGTGCCCAAACCTAAGGTTTGGAAATCCAGAACACAGGGTCTCCAGCCTAATAGCAATTGAACCTAATTGTAATGGCCTCCAACCTACAAGCGATGGGCTCCAATGATTGTGGCAATGTTCAAAGAGGTGGTCTTTGGACCCCGGAGGGGAACTTCTGGCCTGTTGACAACCAATGAGGTCTATTGATGTTTGACAAATCCAGCAGGGTGACCCCCTTGTCTGATGCTATTCGCAGAATCATTAGGATCCGACGAGTTCCTTGGTTCATTGGTTCCTGCTTGATGTGAGGATTCGACAGGATCTTAGATCTCCGAGTACATGTGTTCGTTGAGGTTCGCATCACAGCCTTCTCCCAAAGTTCATGGGTGCCGAACGACCCAGCTGCTGAAGGCCCAAAGGAGCAAATCCACCTCAGATCCCGCAAGCCCCAAGAAAGGACGACATGGAACGCCATGGAACTAGAAGTGAATGTATTCTTCTCCCTAGTAGCTTCTTGTTACTAGTAGTATGGCCAGGAGCTACGTTCGTTTCTTCTTGCTCCGTTCGTAGCGATGCCCTTTGTTACTATTAGCTTCTTGTTACTAGTAGCGATGGCCTCCAACCACAATAGCCATGGCCTCCACGTAGTAGCGTCCTTGTTTACTACATTGCATGTGAATGTTCAGGACATTTTCCAAAAATTGACTTCCAGGATCTTCCAGTGGAGTCTGACTCACAAAGGTGAACAAGAACCGCAGTCGCTTTTTTTTTCCCTGTGAACCCCAGGACTGCCTGAGCTGGGTGCCTACAGTGCTAGCATGTTAGCGTCCAGGTCCCACACATCAGCTGATCGAGCTGGCACCTTGGGGGGCCAGTGAATATTGCCCGCACTTCAGGGTTCCTTTGAAATTGATTCAGCAGTCTAGCCCTCTCACTCAGCTCCCAAAAAAAAAGAAATAGACAGCTTCGACGTCTTGTGTCAAGGACCATCCTGTAATGCGCAAAACGATGGTAGGATTTGTAGGTATAAACAAAGCCGAACAAAGCCAGCAGGTCACAGTTTTTCCAATTGCCAAAAAAACACGTTCCTTTGAACGCCTTCACGAGAAGGCATTGTTTGTACAGCTGTTCAGTCAGAACTCAGTGAACGTCTGCCACCCCCAGGGGAATGACTCCACTGACATCCAGTTTCACAACTGCTGAAATTGCCTCATGAAGGCTGCGTCACTTAAAAAGACTACTGAGACTAACCAATGAAGCTGTGCCAGGCCTGGTGGAACCCGTGTCTGGCACTCCAAAACTTGGTCGAAAGCCGCATGGTTGCTGCCACACGAACTACCCAGCTGTCGCTTGCTTTGCAAACTCAGCTGTTAAGTCGCAGCCTTCGCACTTCCACCGTTTCATCAGGCTGCAGCCTTGGAGTAGTCTGGACCTCGAAGATTCAATACCCAGGACTGCTTCACTCACTTGGTATCTGATCAAAATCTATGAATTGAACAAACTTTGCAAATCTATATAATTAACGTTTGTCCTTTTCAAGACATCACGCAAATCGGGTCGCTTCACTCATCAAGCGGCAAAGCTGCGATGCCCAAACTGGGTGACCCGGCTCTTGAACCAGGAGACTGCATGTAGCCGGGTGCCTTCAAAAGGGCATCGGCCGTGCATCACCAGGTAATTGTCCAGGAGAACCATATCTCCCGGCCTCGGCTGCGTCGGCTTGTGTCGGGTCGAAAATTAATTGTGGTTTGGGGTGGCAACGCAAAAGGCTCAATGCATAGGTGACACTGGATTACTATCTTTCATAGAAAGCAGCCAACCCGAAATGTATATATACCGGAGAAGGGAGGAGACGAAAGCCAGCCTCTGGGTTAGGGGGTGCCCTCAGGGCAAGCCTGGGCAAAGACTTGGCGTGCAAGATGAAGTGATTGGGCAACATCGGGCAAAGAGTACTTTCATGGGGTGAAGTTGACATCGCACAGATAGGGGGCAGAAATAGAAAATATATGAAAATAGAATACGTAGGTTTGGGGGGCGGGTGCCCTTTTTCGTCCCGGTTCAGAGGCGTTTGGAGGTGAAAAAGGGCGCCCCTAAGGAAGTGAGGCGCGTTGCGAATCAGTGAGCAAAAACGGCTGTGGGGGTCCATGTGCGAGGCTATGGGTGGGGTAGGTGAGGATACATATATGTATATAGCTAGGGTGGACAAAGAGTAGCCGGAAGTGGTGAGGTTAATATTGGAGCGACTTGAGTGCGCAAGATGAAGTGAGAGGCTAACATTGCGTAAAGAATACGTTTATGGGGTGAAGTTGGCATCGCAGGTGCGCGATAGGAGGTAGAAACAGAAGGTAGAATTAAAAGGGGGTGCCCTTTTTCGTCCTGGCTCAGGAGTGTTTTGGAAATGAAAAAGGCGCCCTCAAGTATTTTATGTGAGTTTGCCGGCTGCGTGTTGCTAATCAGTGACCAAAGACGGCCGTGGGGGGCCCTCAACAACCCCCCAATCCACGTGAACTCCCACCGCATAGGGAGTGCCCTCTTCAGTGCGGTTCTCTCGCAGGCCCTCAACAGATGGCATCATGCATCCCGTATGGGGTGCCCTTTTGAGTCCAGTAGCTAGGCCTTGCCACAGATTAAAAGGGCACCCCTAAGCAACTCAAAGCCGTCCGCCTCCAACGCTTGCCCGCTGCAATCTCTCTTCCCTCTCAACTACAATGTTCTCTTTCCATGGTCTCCTGCGCCCCTCATGATGCTGATGATGCACTCTTCGCCGCCAATTACATCACATCACAAAACCCCTAAAACAACTCATTTTTCACTACCTCCGGGCCTCCCCTATTTTTCGCTCTCCCCCACCAGGCTCTGGGTTCACCTCTCCGAAATTGGGCGCCTCGCGACAACTCCCCCCCCACACCCCCTTTAACTCACTTCGCTAGCCTATCGGCTGGCTTTCGTGACATATAATTTATACTATATATATATATTATGTTCATAGCATGTTGCAGGATCCGTTCTCTTTTGCCCTGGCTCAACCCCGACTACCCAGCTCGTAGTTCTCATCCCATTTTCGCTGCCGCTGCCCGGACATCGCTTCTCACCGCCGACACCCGACGCCCAGACGCCCAGACTCCCAGGGCCGTCCCGTCCAGGGAATCGCTGCGCGTGGCTCAGGTGCGGGCTCCATCTTCACTTTCTCGGCACACTCCAGAGTCACTTTGTCCAGGTGTTCCAGCCACTCCGTCTGGGAAGGAGCAGCGGGCATATATACGAAAACGGAGGAGCTAAGGGAGATGGTCGGAACGCAGCGGTGCCAGGTGAGGAAGTATTGGCAGGATCTTAGAGGTGTCTCTACTTTAGGGAGTGCTCTTCATCTCTCCACTTTGCTTCAATTCAAGCTTGTTGATATATTAAAGCCACGATTGTGAAGTGGCACGAATCACCTTTCTGGATCTATATATATATATATATAGATCTGGAGAAAAGGAGCATCAAGTCGTGACGACACCGAGCCTCAATCTTCTCTCCATCATCACCATAGAAGACGTCTGTTTTGTTGATTCTCGACCTAGGAGGGTCACTTCCAAGGTCACTTCCAAGAGGGTCATTGTGTATCATGTGGTTGAGCGCTTTGAGACAGCAACTCCATGAAGAAAAAAGACGAGCTGAGATTGCAGCGCACCAGTTGTCTCCTGGAAACGAATCAGGAAGTCTTCAAATGTTGGAATGTTGTAGAGTTGAATTTCAATGTGCAGTGTGAAACAGGTAGCCTTCGATGTTCTTCTTACAATGCCTTCTGAACAATCTAATGTCATTCTCCTCAATGGCTTGAGGATACATGCAAAAGAGGAGCAAACCAGTGATTCAGCACCAGTCACTTGGGCTGTTTGTCTCAAAGGAAAAAGCAAAAAACAAAACGCTTAAAGTGTCCCCTCCAAATCGAGAGCATCGAGCCGTTTCCCCTCCACCCTCCTGTGCTTCTCCGAACACCTTCTCCCGCTCTCGGCGGAGATGCTCCTCAGGCACTTCAGCAAGAGGAGCCAAGAGTCAGAAGCAACCAACACAAAACACCTGGGATCGCCATTTCTGTCCGTGGGCTTTCAAATCTTCTCTTTTTTGTTGCTGGCACCTCCAAAGTGCTACAAGGATCTACAAGGTACAAAGTCACCACTGTCATGAGAAAAGCAACCTGTGCAGCCCAGCGTCAGCATGCGAGTGCATGGACCCCCACCAGCAAGGTTCTCCAGTTGCATGGTGTCGAACAATCGGATATTGCGGCATGGCACGAACCTGACCACCATGAGAAAGGTTTGTTGCTCAAAAATCTACGCCCCGAAGCTCCTGCGTGCAAAAGGGCACTTGTGTTGGAGTCACAAGGACACACTGCCTCTCGACTCTCTTGACAAAAAAGAAAAACTACTTGCAGTTTTGGTCCGTCATGGTCCATACTCATGCCAGCATGGTGTGACCGGTCCATGGGTCACCAGACAAGGTGTTTTTGTGAGTGAAAACCACTCACATTTGGAAACCAGACCTGTCTGAGGATGTTTGAAGCAAATCTTTGTGGGTTCACTCTCTCACTTTGGCACAAGTTGGCAAGAAACTGGGGAAAAAAGATTGAAAAAACAATAAAAAAGACCCCTTCAAGATCGGAAACTGCACTCCTGTGATTCTGTTCGATGCCTGCAGGATCTTGCTACCGTCATAGTCCGACTTCTCCCATCGCAACTCCGTCTGAAAGTCCACCTGAGGCACTCCGTGTCCCACCGTGGTCGCGCCGGTCCAAGGGCCGGTCGTTGGTCCGTCCAATCGACCGAGTCGGCCGTGGGGTGAACGACGCATCACACGTTCCCCACGCATCTCCCTTGAAGTCGGTGTTGGTCGAAAGTGTTCAACCAGAGGGTGAAGGACAAACGTGGCTGCCAAGCGGCCTTCATCTTCAAAGCCTGGCGGAGAAAGGAGCTGGAAGGGCGCATCGGGTTCATTGCCAGGTACATGTTTTGGCCTTCCATCCGTGGCCAATCTACGTCGGCCCTTTTAGCACACGCGAGTTCTTGACACCCCGAGCACTCCTCTCCCCCACAAAGCCACAATGAATCCAACCAGTCGTGACAAGTCCACAGACCACCAATCCAGCCGCAAATGAGCCTGTGTCATGGCTCCATAGACCATGGGCTCGACCGCTGGCTTCACAAAATCCGGAAGGCCCCTTAGAAGTCAGAATCTCTGCGTGCTGGGGTCTCACGGCTCTGAGCAGAGATTGGTGTCCTACAAACAAATGGAACGTGTGGTGGATCAGTTTCTACCATCCAAGACGCTCAATGAAGCCCATCGGGAACTCAGCCGTGGAATAGACCACGTCCTTCAATGCGCCCAGACCCACGGAATCACAGTTCATCACAGGAGTCGTAGGATTTCAATTGGAGATTAGCTCGGCTTTGAATGTTTACAGGGTGTTCAATCACACTTCTGCTTCCCAAAAACTCGGGTTCAGTGCTTGCCGCATGGTAGAGAATCCCCAGAATACATTCCCAGACTGCAGTGCTCAGTGCAATCGTTGTGGTAATCATTATGCATTCTGAAGATTCCAAAAACCTTATGAATCCAACATTCAGCCCCTTCTTCAGACGAGGATCTCGGTTGTAGACTTTGCTGAGCCAGTCCTGGAAGGTTTCAAAAGCAGTTGAAATTGCTCACTGAACCCTTTAGATCCTTTGGAATTCCGAATCTTAAACGATCCAAATGATCCTCGTGAAGTACGCTTCATGTGCGGCAAAAAAGAGCCCTGTTTCTTTGGAACGTTGGCAATAGACACATTTCCCATGTTCCCTGGCCGTTGCATTTCCGATGTTCCCTGGCCTGGTCCAGCTTTTTGAACATCCTTAGTACAAAATCAAGTAAGCCGAAAGGAATATGTTGTATAACCAATAGCAACTAAATAAAGGGATTAACCCAAGGGAGTCCGATCCTTGAACATCCTGTCATCCTGTCCAGTTTCTTGGGATTCAATGTGCTCAGCACTTCAACTGTGGCCGCACAGAGCGCCAAGCAGCTTGCGGCCATCGGCCACCAAAAACTCGCCACCCTTCTCGGCGGCCTGACATGGCTGCATCTCAACCCCAACAGCATCTATATATAAATACATAAATATACAGTAATATCTTTTCCATCAAACCACAGTACAACATGTCGTCATATCTGTCATCCCCTCGAAGCTCACAGTCGGCTTCACTGTCAGGCACACCCATGCGAGAAGCAGTTCCGCATCGCGCCTTGAAGCAAACGAAGAGCGCAGCTCCTGGAGCTCGGTTTCCCACCATCCTGAGGTCTCGCTTCGAAGTCTGCCGATTTTCAGCCTTACTCTCAAGAACCTTGACTTATTCGCCTATCCTCCAAGCCTTGGTTTCATAAGCAACCAATGCGAACCGTATCATGGCCATGGATGTGAAGGTCAGATTCTTATGATGTTCTCAAGGTTTCTCTCAACCACCCGATGCGACTAAACACCGCACAGAATATGAGTTTGCAGGATCTGTAGCATCTTTACTTGGCCATAATTTTTTGGTGACGCCACACGGTCGGCTTGAAAGTGCTGCCCAAGCTGCTCATTGTGCATACCAATGTAGAACTTGCTTCGGGACCTTGGTGTCAGCTTGTCTCGCAGGTGGACTGGTTGAGCAGCAGTATGTCCACAAGCAACTTTTGCCATGGACCCTCTCTGTAAACATTTGCCACGGCACAGCGCCTGCAAACTAGGTGTACGAGAAAGAATCCTGCTTTATTCCTAGATCCATCACATATTCATATGTGCGGCGGTCAAAACATGCTGGTCATTCTGCCATGGCATCACTCTTCAAGGTTCCCCCACACCCCAGACAGTCCCAATCAAAAGCAAACAACCCGACAATCTCTCTCAACCCTGAGGATTCTTTGTGCTTCCTCTTAGAAGCTCCCACATGTAAGCCATTGTCATTGTTTCAACAATTGCGAAGGCCTTCGACAAGCTCTTTGCTACGCGGCATGAGGAAAAGCTGACCGCTAGTAGCGTGAGTGGACTTCTCAGCTATCGCTCCAGGTATCATTTGGTATCAGTTTGAGTATCGCTCCAAAAAATATTTTGTCACAAAAAATGTGTCAAAATATCAGTGGGAATTAGCACATTCCTGGAACAGAAGTGGGCAAGCTGCCTCTTTCTAGCCATTCTGCTCCTAAGATTCCTGAACAGCTTTGTGCCAAAACAGGCCGGCAACTTGTTGGAAATATCATGTCCTGGCATCGCTCTTCAGGATTTCCCGGTCGCTACACACAGCAAGTCTTACGGTTCACCTTTCAAACTCTTGAACTGTTTTTGGGCCCTTGCTGCACTTGGATGTGCTGGGAGTAGGGCTATGCATAGAAACCGACCCAGGCGGCTCACATCGAGAACACCACATCCTTCTCAGCCCCCCGGCGGCTTGTTCACAGCTTCGTAGACCCCGGCTTTCTTGTCCACGGCATCGCGCGCCGCCACGGAATGAAGCGGGTCCTGCGAGCGCCAGTGGCGAGCGGTTTGGTACGGATTTTGGCACGGATCTGCGGGCGAAGAGAAGGCTCCAAAGGCTTCAGACTTGTAGGAATGATCCTCTCTGAAACATGAACACAGAGGTTGTTGGAAGATTTTCAAGTTTGGACGCCATGCACTGTTCCGCCCTTGGAGGATCCTTTATCATCCTTTTTCAGCATAAAGAAAGACACATCGGTGCCGCAGCTCCTCGCAGTTTTCCAATTCCAAGGCTTGGCCAACCTGAACCAGGGAGGAGCTGGCAAAGCGGCGATTGGCATGATCCTACGCTGAAAGCAACTAATAATTAAGCTAAATGGAAGGACTAGTTGGGAGCTCTTCAAAAAGCATGGAAGGTGGGTCTTTCAAGGTCTTTTTAATATCTTCTTCACTCGGCCACATTCACGTTGCATGGCAGTCAGCCCCCCACTTCGTTCGGAGCTTCGGTGGGCTTCTCTGCCATGCTGGACGGAACCCGACTTGGGCACCTGCCCAAAGGTCTCCTTATCCTTGGAGATGTCGAAGCCCCGGAAGACAATGGCGCCATACTCCTTCAGATCCTGTTCGTTCGGCCATTGCTTTACTGAACGACATGTCATGAAATCGGAGTGAGCACTGATCAGAGAATCACTGGTACTATGACTATGATATTCTTCTTTCTTCTGATCCTGATTCAGATTCAGATTCAGCTTCTTCTTCTTCTCCTTCTTCTGCGTTTCACAGGTGCTGTGCGTTCCTCCTTAAAATATGTTACCTGTTACAGTATCTGACTTCTAAGACCTATCTGCATTAATGACTCCTTGTGAGCACCCAAAACCATCCCAAAACCTTGCTCACAGAGGAAAAAAACTCATCTGATTGGGTTGGTCCTTGTAGATCTGCGGCAGCTTTGAGGAGAAGTATTGGCGCTGTCCCTCAGCTCTTGCTTTGCTGCCAACCAAGAGAGGTTAAGTGACCTTATAGGACCTAATTGGGGTACCTATGGGATAGTCTATGGGGTTCTTCAACCTCTCTTGGAAGCTGTCTTACGTCTTACTGGCTGCATTTAGAAGCCGAAGGCGTGAGCCAAGCTACTTCCAAGTCTCCCTTCAGCTCGGCTGGCATGCGGACTTCCAGAGGACAGGCTTTCACCTCCACTCTCGAGTGTTGGTTGGAGGAAAACTGCTGAAAACCCACAATGTCCATCCACACCAGGCAAGTCAAAAAAAATCCAACATCTCCTCCTATCCGGATGGCTGGTGGGTTGGGTTGCTCGCCTTTCGAGTGAACTCAACACATCAACTAACTCCAAGGCCTCCAATTTCTTCCGCTCACCTTCGACGTCAATATCTTTGTTGCCTTAAAGGCATCCGCGAGCGAAGCCCCAGGTGGGTGGACTGCTATGGTGTGTATGTGTGTGTGTGTGTCGTGGAACGCGGATTTCCGGAACCCCACCCCCCATGGTGGGTCAAAACCTTGTTGTGGGCTGTTCATCCACCACGCTGTGGGATGTTGAATCATTTTGACCCACTGCCATATGTCCAGACTGTCCAGGTATGTGTTCCTTCTCGCTTCCAGAACAACGGTTGGTCTGACACCCCTTCATCTCCCTGCACACCTCCTCTGTTGTGAAGTTCACATGTCTTTTTGAGACCAAAGCTGCCATACAATACATAGGGACAGTCCGCCAAGCCATCAGCACATCGCACGATCCGAGCCCTTGGATGCGGAGTATCAGCACATCGCACATGAATGGACGTGAATAGATGCTGCTGGGGTGTCGGTGTCTGCGGGGGAAGGCGTGGCCGTGTCTAACTCTGTCGCTGTCCCTTGTCAAAAGGAGAACCATTGTGCTCATTGTGCTTACATTAATTATATACTTATATAATCTTATTTACATATAGTCACTCTTCGTTGAAATGCATGCATCCTCCACAACCTTGAAGACGTTGGCTCCCTTCGCGGGCCATTTCCTCCCCCTGCACCCAGCCACTGACGACTCTTCCGCGGTCGCAGCCCAGCGCCCAGCGCCACCGCTGCCGGCACGGCCACCGAACGGAGGCGGCTGTGGGACTCGCCCGAGCGCTGTGCGGAGGCAGAGCGGGCAGAGCGGTGGAGCTGAGGACCTGAGTGGCTCAAAGAAAAGGGGTCTCGCATGTGGATGGCATGACGCGTTTGATGTGTTCAGTGGCAATCTCTATGCTTCAAAGCTTCACATGTTGAAGGATTTGACTTCCAAAGATTCGAGCCCTGATCATTTGGTGCATCGCAAAGAGTCACTTCATGCCATTTCATGCCCCCTTGCCACTTGAAGCGCCCAGTCACGCCCAGATGGGCTTGAGCTGGCACCGCTGAGGACGCCAGTGGGTCCAACGACAAAACACCTGGAAACGGCGTGAGTCCTGACCTACCCGCCATGTACTTGGCCTCACAAAGCCCGTCAAGTAGGGAAAAGGGGGACTTAAGACTTGAGGATCACTGGCCAAACGGGTTTGAACATAATGTGTTCAGCCACAATCTGGGAAAGAACAATGCCTGCAAGTGTCGCAAGTCACGTCCATGGGTCAAGTTCTTTATCATCCACTCGCCTGCTGCTTCCATACACTGCGCATGCAGACACTGCCTGAGTGCCAGAAAACGTGCCATAAGCGTCAGACGTGTCCTTGCCTAGACAACCTTGGTGTCATAAAGCTGGACGAACCTTCGGCTATTGGACGAACACGGCTCGGTTCAATTTCGAGTGCTCGTTTTCAGACCGTGCCAGTCCGTGGTGATTCACAAACCGGTACGCGGCACCATCGCGTGCGGAGGTCTCCCCATGTGCAGTCGTGGCGCAGCAGCAGCCATAGCCCGCTTGCCGTCCATTGCGCCAAAGTGAAGCAAGCAACGGTTCAACTGAAGCAACTCATGATCCACAAAAGCAACAGGTAGCGAAATAGTCTGGTACAGTACAGTCTGGTGCTGCAACAAAGGAAAATGCTTGCCGAACAAATACAAAAAATAACAAGGATTATGAAAAATGACAAAACGAAAAGAGTTCCTGCTTTCACCGGTCCAGGGGAAACAAAGAATGGCTTCTATGCATCCTGAACTCTAGGACTGGCACGAGATCTTTGCTGGTCTTACACCTTGCAGACAGCAAAGACAATTGAGGGAACTTCTGAGCCTAGCAGCAGCATGAGACAACTACTTTAACTTCAGGATTACGCCAACACGTCAAAACAAATGTGTGTCTTTGCCATTGAGAACAAGCCAAGCAACAAACTCTAGCAAGCCCAGCACTTTTCTCGGTGTTCTCCACTGGTTGTCAAAGCGAAACCACAATCTTCCACGTTAGCCTCGCCTCGCTCGGTTCGATTGTCCGTTTTGAAGTCACTCCTTTGTGTAAGATTCCCACGGAGCTTCCGATTGTTCCCATACGCCCTCACGCAAGACCTCGCAGGGTTTAGCAAGAAAGGCGCAGTGAGATATCCCTGTGCCCCTCTTTGGGCGATGCGGCAATCCCCTTTTGGCTGTTCACTGTTGAATGCACTGCATTTATTTACTGCATACAATACAACAAAATCAACAAACAGATTTGTTCTGAGGCAGTTTTATATACATTTGATGTGCAGAACTAGTAACTAGAGCGCAAAACACATCCCAATGCTTGGGAGCTCCTTTCTGCCCCTGGAAAAAACAAGTCCTCATCCAGAAAAATTGCTCTCCAAACAAATTCTAAGTTTAAAAAAATAAATAGAACAAACGGGAAGATTTCAAAGAACGGTGGGGCCTGTGTCGTCTGGATCCGTCCGACCGTCGACCGGCCGCCCGGCCTTGTCCGCCGCTAAGTCCTGGAGACACTGAGAACGTGGCGAGGCAGCGGATGATCTGCAGATTAGCTAGAAGCTACTAGTAGCAAGTGCATCGCTACTAGTAGCCGGAAGCTACTAGTAGCAAGTGCATCGCTACTAGCAGCCGGAAGCTACTAGTAACAAGGGCATCGCTACTAGTAACAAGGGCATCGCTACTAGTAAGTAACAAGAAGCTACGTACTAGTAACTAGGCTATATAATGCTATATATATATATACTGTAAGTGTTCAGAGTCGATGGCACTGGCACCCCTAGTGATTTTTTTGAGATGGGGATCCAATGGGATCCATCTAAACCACCCAACTTGGGGATTGTGCCATCTACTCTCCACCTGTGGATTACACAGATCAAACCACTGGAGAGATGGGGACCGTCCCATGTCTAGGTGAATGACCAGCAGTGTGAACATGGCCATGACGGAATCATTATCGATGATTACATCCATTCTTGTCTAAAAGATCTTGCCTGTATGGATGTGCAATATGTTTTGTTCACTCATTCTGAAAAGATGTTGCATGTTTATCAGGAATTTGCTGCACGACCACGAACAAGTGCATCGAGTTGGAGAGTTCTCCTACGACGGGGCTTGAACACCTGTGAAATATGTGCAACCCTAAGGCCCTACGGCCCTACGCGTGAAACCACTCGAAGTTAGATTTGATGCAAAATCAACAACTCTCAACAGACCAGACCAGACAAATAGGTTCCCCATGACTCCACAAGTGATGCTTGATGGACTCGAAAGCGTGATGTGATGCAATAGGCTCCCGGACACGAAAGAGGGCCTTGCACGTCGTGAGTTCTTCTTGTGCATGTTGCACCGCCTCATCAGTTCTTCGTTGATGTTCAACATGCAAAGCATTTAGAATTTATAAAGTTCCATCTGAATTTAATCTTCCGGATGTGGGGAAAATGATGAAAACGATGGAATGTGTGAGAGGCTCTTCCTTGGTGGTGACCTTAGGACCTTAGGACCTTAGGTAGATTTATGACGGTTGCAAATTGACCCTTTTCGGTTATGTTCCAAGCACCGAACAACCGAACAACCATTCAGGTTCATCTTTTCAGCAGGAAGGAGCCTGAATTTGGCCACGTCCACATGCAAGGGTTCTCCGATGTAAAAAAAAAGTAGTAGTTTCTGGGATAAAGAAAGATCAGCAGCCCAACAAGCAAAGCAGGTGCTGTTCCACGTGCGCTGTGCGTCAAACCCCCAAAGGGCCATCCAAACGGGCCTCTTTGATGGACAGTGCCACCGCGTGGTACCAGGCCTTGAGACCACGGCCTGATGGAGACGAAAACGGAGATGACAAAGGACAACACGAGTATTGAACTTGTAGAAAAAAGGAAACCAGTGCCTTGTTCCTTTTTCAGCGAAAGATACTACTACTACTACTACTACTACTACTACTACTACTACTACTACTACAGTTCTATTATTGAACAATGGAAGTGTGTGGAATGTGTTTTTTGCCACCACATATTTGGCCTCATAAAGGGTGGTGCCTGAAGATAGATACATAATGAATGACAACGATAAAATGGCAGAGATCACACCCACTCTGTGTTCAGGTTCCCTCCTGCACGTTCATGTTCACCTCAAAACCATGTCCGGGCACCCTGTACGGCCAGCGGCGTCTGATCCATAACACTAGCAACCCCTGTATCACCACAGCATACGTTTCAAGCTCGGTCCTGACAACCAAGATCAGCAAAGTATGGGGCACGTCACCGTGCATGTTTGAATTCCATATAATTCTTTAATGTAGAATGTAGAGTCTTAATTAATAGCCCCCCCGGACACTTAGGCCCTGACGAAGGCGTCGGAAGTCTTGCCGCAGCACATGGGTCCTGCAATAGCACTCACAGGAGTTGGTCAACCGCATGTGTGCTATCGATGTAGTGCAGTTGTGGGCATGGAAGGGAATGTGGTTCTTGAGTCTTGACCCACTTGTAGTTGTTTCGCCGACCAGATGTCAAGGTCTGTGAAATGTTCGATGAATTTAGATGCATCCCCAGCGAGACAGCTCATACGTCTCGAACTGGAGACTTGATTGTCGCAAAAATATTCGCTTGGAAGAGTCTTCCTGAGCTTTCTTGTCGCCAGGCCAGATGGATGATTGGAAGGCTTAACGTAGAACTCATGGCTGGTGATGTTTTAAAGGATTCTGAAGGACACATCCTGAGCTTGGACGTTGCCAGCATCAGCCACCACCATCCTTAGTGCTTACACATTGCCATGCAAACAGCACACTGTAAGCCACTAAAAAGCATCCTCTCAAAACTCAAACTTTTGCCTCCAATTCAGTGATCTCCGCAACTTACTAGACTATACCTGGATAATCCAACTAGAGG